TGCGTTCACTATAGGATTTTCAATCCATTACATCTAAGAAATCAACAGTGAATGTCAGAGAAGACCTCTATGATTTATCCCAAACAAATTTTGTAACGCCTGGACGCGTGTAAAGTGTACGGTGCGTATACATATATCAAGACAACTAAATTACGTAACTGCAAGCAGTAGACGCAAGTTATTTCTAAGTGCCACTAAAAGATGAATGAACTAACAAAACAAAATATTATACTGTAAATCTATAAACAACATATTTTAATAGGGTAGAAACTATGTAGCCAAAATAAATTTCCGCACTGAAACTAAACTCTGTTGCAACAATGTACAATACATTATAACGCCCTCACGGCTGAAAGGGCGAGCATGTTTGGTGGGACGGAGATTCGAACCCGCGATCCTCAGATTGCGAGTCGAGTGCCGTAACCACCTGACCATGACAGGCCTTTTTGATATGCAGTCATACTATACGTTTTCTACCTTCTTACTTTAAATGTACAATTTTTCAAACTTTTTCGTTTATTATAAATCTATGCATTTTTCGCATCAAATGGGTTCGTCCCCCAGTGGCACAGCGGTATTTCTGCGGACTTACAACGCTAGAAACCAGATAGTTCATTGTACCACTTTGGGCTTAATTACAAACAAACATAACATATGTTCAAAAAATCGTTAAGTTCATTTCGTTCTAGCTGCCTTTATTCCTTATTTATTCTCTAGAGATAACACCTGTTCTGTCCATGGTGGGATATAGCTGTAATGTTGCACGTTGAACAATTATGTAAAAAGACAGCTAGTATCCTCCAATGGTAGGCCATATAATATACCGAGGCTATGGCTTTCCCCATGTTTGAATGAGAATAACCATCATGTAAGCATCGTTAGTTCCTATGGTTAAGTATCGTGTTTGCGGTTAATAAGAAATGTTAATTTTAAACATTCGGGAATAGGCAGGGCTGGCGCGGCCTGTTTTGCAGCCATGTGCAAACGCTGATTATACTCGCCCCCCCCCCCCTCAAACGAATTTTCTGTGAATCATCTGTAGGAAGCAGCATTGTTATATTTTAATTGTATACTTTTCTATAGAATGCCGAGTCTGCCTGACGGATAATGTTTCGCTTGCCAGGGAGCAACTGCTGACCAGAACCAATTTTTTGATATTCATCTTTGTTGCTCCCAAGAACCTGCCGTCTTGTGCAAATGCATGTGCTGGCTGCACTTTCAGTCGCGCTGGCCCTGGGAATAAATCTCGGCAAACGCTTTTGTTACTGATCTTAAGTGAGTTTGTGAAAGGGATGAAAGACATCTGGAGGAGAGAAAACGAGTTAATTAATTCACAAATCTTGTTAGAGGAGACCGTTCAGCATCTATATTGTAATTACACACACTGTGTTTTGTCTTGGTAATAAAGATTGTTTAATTTGTATTACACGCTGTGTTCAGTCTGTTTATTTCTTTGCTTAAACTTAGTTAAATTCAGCATTGCTTCGTAGTTTATCCTGCCGATTCTCTCGTTATAAAGCGGATCTTCCTAATATTATTCGAGAAAAATCAATTTAACCTGAGAGAACACATTTTTGTTCAATGCAACATATATATATCATGCACTCGAACAGTTACAAGCTATCAATCAAATCCAATTATAAAAACATCAACTTTACTTGGGTAGTCATAGAAAATTAATGGCTTCCAGCAGACATTTCTCTTTTCAACGACCCTTCAGTGGCATAGCGATATGCTTTCGGACTTACAATGCTAGAAACAGGGTTTCGATACCCATGGTGAGCAGAGCACAGATAGCCCATTGTGGAGCTTTGTGCTTAACTTCAAACAAACAAATAAACTTTTCAAATGATTATTTTGATATATATATATATATACATGATAAGAATACATATTCCTGCATGTTAAGTGACAGCGAATTGTAAGTATAACGCTTGTGACTAATTTAACTCTGCCAATACGATCGTGATATGTAATAGAACATGTTTGTGTTTGTTAACAAACCATAAAGCAAAGTTACATCTATTGTGTATATACGTAGTCTAATTAAGGAGTGGTAGCCGAAGATACAGAAAGCTAAATCTTTAAAATTTGCTTGTTTATTATAGAATTTTTGTGCAAAGCTACACAAGGGTTATTTGCGCATAGCCGTCTCTAAATTTGTTCTGACAAACCACAGAGAAAGCAGTTAGTTAACAGCACCACCGCCATATCTTGGGCTACTCTAATCAAATAGTGAGATTTAATTGTCGCTCATATAGCGCACTCACGGCTCCAAATGAGGAGAGCGATTCTACGGCAACGAAACTCGAGCATGGAACCCTCGGATTCACAGTTTGGATACATTACTCACTAAGCCATGCCTGGTTTATATATACAAATAAATACACTATTACATTCACCTGTATAGTATAAGGGGTAAAATGTGACAGGGATAACACTTAGTAAACGTGACACCTGTATATTGTTATTATAAGTGAATAATTAACAGCTCTATATTACAAAGCGACCTCTGTCTATTTGTTTGTCCGTAAAAGAAATTTGTCACGTGTACTAGTTTGACAGCAATTTATATTTTCCTCCTTGCTAGTGTGAATGCCGCCTTCCACCTGAAGCCAAAGCTAACTAATGATAACATACAATACAGAATACAGTAAAGGCTAACATGATGGTATCTGTAACGTAATGGCTTACCTGATGTTATGTAATACTAATAGTACAGCATGAAATGACTAATAAGTTATAACGTGGATAGTAGAAAGCTAACTAATGATAACATGCATGAAGTTAGCGTTAAGCACTCTTCTGCAATGTGATGATATATAGCATGCGTGGTTGGAATTAATTAATGGCTAAAAAATTTTAAACATTACGAGACTGAATACGCACAACTCAATCACACGTTATTTTGCATTACAGGCAGGGCCATATTGAGGGTGATGCAAAAGGAGTAGCTGCACCAGGGCCCTCGACCACATGGGGGGGGGGGGGGCTTCAATGAAAATAAATTTTGCATTGTATGCACTTGTATTTATTAGGGGATATAAATGATATTTTACTGCCCCAGGCCCCGTTTGACCTAAATCAGCCCCTGATTAGAGGCCCAATTTCTTTTGTCGTAACACCAAATTTACTCCAATTTTCTATTAAATTCAACGGTATATCAAAATTGGAATCTTACGATATACGTGATGTGTTTTTTTTTTATATAAATGTATCATATTTCTAAGTTGAAAAAAGCACTAGTAAACGATCTAAGTAGACAACCGTTAAACTACTTAGTGTTATTTAAGAAACTCCCTCTGTACTTACCAACAAAGGTGCTCGCTCCAGGCGGGGCATTAATTTCTTTCTACTCTCCACGTTATAACTTATTAGTCATTTCATGCTGTACTATTAGTATTACATAACATCAGATAAGCCACGACGTTACAGATACCATCATGTTAGCCTTTACTGTATTCTGTACTGCTATTACCTTCTAACAACTGTGCATGCTTTTCGTCAATAAATAATTGTTAACCATGCATGTTATACATCACTATATTCTAAACATTAATTTAACACAAAACTTTACATGATATTCACCATTAATGAACTGCTTACCAACATTCTGTACTCTTAAATGTTATTCAGCGTATTCTACACCAATATGCGACTGTTTACCTTCGCATTTTCTTCACATGGATCGTTTATTCAGTGTTATTATTTTAATATAATAAAACCATAGCTTTAGTTTCCTCAAATACAATATTAGTTTCTTCTACAGTATTTGTTTAACTTCTTTTGTTAGCACTTTGTTATTTCTTTGTTGTATTTAGGGCTAGTTTTTTAGCCCGTCCGCACTTAGTAAGAGCTAAAGATACACACCTTTAATTGTTAGGATCCGTTCCACCATAGAACTGTGGTCTCAACCATGAAACAAGTGTCGATTAAACAGTAAAACTTGATCGTCGCTGCGTTGTGTTACAGTAGTTATGGTAACCTCAAGTTCTCTCTCAAAATATGACAGTAAAACTTAATCGACACTGATTTACAGTTGTTATGGTAACCTCAAGTTCTCTCTCAAAATATGGCAGTAAAACTTGATCGACACTGACTTACAGTAGTTATGGTAACCTCAAGTTCTCTCTCTCAAAATATGGCAGTAAAACTTGATCGACACTGCCTTACAGTAGTTATGGTAACCTCAAGTCCTCTTTCAAAAAGTGACAATAAAACTTATTTGTCGCTGAGTTATAGTAGTTATACTAACCTCAAGTTCTCTTTTAAAAAGGCAGCAGTAAAACGTACCTATCGCTGAGTTACAGAAGTTAATTTAACCTCAAGTTCTCCTTCAAAAAATGGCAATAAAACTTAATCGTCGCTGAGTTATAGCAGTTATGATAACCTCAAGGACTCCTTCAAAAAGTGGCAGTAAAACATGATCGTCACAATGAAAAGTAGTAGTAGATTCTGTTATTAGGCTTCCGTAGTTCACGTTATCTCATTCAGAAATTCGCAGCACTGAAGATGTTATCAACATTTTGGTTTATGCACTTTAAGAAACTAACGCTACGAGGTTAGTTAGAAATGAAACAGGATATCGTATTCACGATACAAGACTGATAAGATTAACAACGTCATTTTAGTACACACACCTTAAATTATCCATGTTAGTCTTAACAGTATTATTTACGATTTAAAAACTCCGCAAAAAACAACACAATCGAAGTATTGTTAAAAAAATTTTTACCCTAAAAAGGTGCTTTATTCACAATACTAACTTTACGATAAGCTTGAAAATTATTCTCCACCATTATCGTCAAATTCCTTAACCGTTAGTAAAACAAAACACAAAATTCTGATGATGCAAAAGTGAATTACAACTACATCAATCCATGCCCCTAACGACAGTATTAAAGCAAAGAACTTGTGCAGAAAATCCTTGTAAGTATAAATAATTGTTAAAACACTCGAAGATATTCTTACCTTATGTCTGCCATACCATAAAAATGGATTCTGTTCTACTGGATGGAGCAAAACGTGCCTTTGTACCCAAGCGCAGTTCTTATCTTATCTTATCAGCTGTTGTTGGAATTTTGACTTTGTCTTATACTTTCTTTCAGCCCCCCCCCCCCGGTGAGACAGTGGTAAGTCTACAGATTCACAACGCTAAAATCCTGGTTTCGATTCCCCGCGGTGGACACAGCAAATAGCTCAATATGGCTTTGTTCTAAAACAAACAGAAAAACAAACAAATTATTTCAGTTCTTTGGAATGTATGTGTCTTTTCAGCGAACTATGACGTATTTTCTTCACGAATCGCCTCCATGTTGATTAAAAGTAATTTGTTTTAAATAAATTTCTACACACAAATATATCTGTATTTATTTCTTTTATTGGAATTCGTGCAAAGTTGAACGAGAGCTAGCTCAGCTAGCCGTTCCCAGTTTTGAAGTGATGGACTGGAAGGAAGGTAGCTAGTCACAGCCAATCACTGTCAACTCTTTTTCAGGCCGAATAATGGTATTTGATCGTCACACTTATAACGCACCCATGACCCCAAAGAGCGGAGTTCGATTTTATTCCTCTTTTTTTATATTGTTGGTAATGGTGTGGACACGAACAACGGAACCTCAACGTTACGGTCGGGCGCGTTAACAACAGGACTGCGTTCGGGTCCGCAATTATATGTATGTATATAGACGGGCCTAGTGGTTAGGGTACTCGACTCGTAATGTACGGAACTAAAAAAAGTATATATCGTTCTGAATTGTTTTAATATGTATGACTTATCTAAAAGAGAAGATGGCGCTGCTAGGTAAATCTGCTCGATGATCACTGGAACTAAGAAAAGTATATATTGTTCTGAATTATTTTAATATGTATAAATTATCTAAAAGAGAAGATGGCGCTACTAGGTAAATCTGCTCGATGATCACCGGAACTAAGAAAAAGTATATATTGTTCTGAATTATTTTAATATGTATGAATTATCTAAAAGAGAAGATGGCGCTGCTAGGTAAATCTGCTCGATGATCACCGGAACAAAGAAAAAGTATATATTGTTCTGAATTATTTTAATATGTATGAATTATCTAAAATGTTAACATCCATGCTGAAATCACTAATTGTTTATAGATATATCCGTCTTTTGTGTTTAAAATGCTATATTTGCTCCACTTCTAGGCGTATACGACAAACAATTGGGGAACATGCAGTATTTTCATTTTATAACAGTTCAAGAGTCCTTATACACACACATGCAAGTTGCATGTGATACGCCTGTCAGAATGAAACATCTGGCTTTCTGTTTTCCACTGAACGAAATCTACTTATTTGGGAGTCTTTTGATCGTGACGTTACACTATGTTATTAATATGCTTTGTTGGGTTTATAGCAAAGCCACGTTCGACTATCTGCTCTGTCCACTGCGGGGAATCGAACTCCGGATTTTAGCGTTGTAAGTCCGTAAACTTAACGCTGACCAACCGGGGGACTATTAATATGTAGGAGCCCTTCTATAATACCATTTATTGAATTTAAAAACAAGAAAAAAAACATTAATTTTTTTCTAAACCTTTTTCCTAACTTTTAAAAAAATTGTCTAATTTTCTCGCAGGTAATTTAATCATCTCTTACACAATCACTATGTACTTTTAATAGTGTATCATTCTAGCAAATCTATGTACATAGCCTAAGCTTCTGCTTTCTCAAATTTCCTACAGCATTCTCTATTCATGTTGTCTTACACTCGTGTTCTGGAAAAATCTAAGTTTAATCAATGTTTAGAAAATTGTATAATCCATGTCAGCTGTTGGTCAAACGTGCAATGCATATAACTTTGAAAATAAAGATATTCCTAAAAAGAACACAATGTATTTTAATATCTGTTTCATAATATCATTTACAAAATAACGGTGACCGTTCTTTAAACAAAAAGTACAAGTATCAAAATATAAATATTTTTAAGAATATACGTTCCATTTTTTTAGTAACGTATTTTGTTTTCATTTTCCCAAAATTACATATATATATTATAATTTGCACACGTTTTGTGTACGAATATGCCAGATGTTCTGTTCGGTAGTTATTGCTCATAACTTGGGTGTCATCAACCTAAATAAAACGAGTATTTTAAATTTGGCCTTTGTGTTTGTTTGTTTTAAATGCAAGGCTTCACAATGGGCTTTTGTCGCTATATTCGCCACAGATATCGTACCCTGAACTTTATCATTACAAACCCTCAAGTTTACTTTTGATTGAGTCATTATGGGGCTGGCCTCCGATACAATAAAGACAAGCTCAATGAACCCTTAACAACTAAATCTTTATACACATGAAAACAATGGAATTATATCAATGGAAATAATATGCTTAATAAGTTTATACCCAGATTTGGATTAGATTTACTTTAAAAGTACACACGATGCAACTGGTATCTAATTGCTAAAAAGAAATTTATTTACTTCATCACAAACTGTTGCTTTGTGCTGTATCCCACTTCACTAATATTAACAATAAAAGGCTTGAATATTTTGTTTTTAAATACAAAGCTACACACTGAGCTTTCTGTGCTGTGCTCATCACGGGTATCTAAATCCGTATTTAAGCATCGTAAACCCTCAGACTTACCACTGAGCCACTATGGGAGAGGAGCTTGAGAAACAAAATATTGTTTGTTATTTCAATTAGTATAGAAACAAGTCCTGTAGGACAACGGTTATTTTAGTTGAAAAATGAAAAAAAATGAACTAAAATGTCACTTTATGCCAAATTTATGAATAATGTAAATATTAGATATTCGATCACCTGTTTTCTATAAGGCTACACTTTAATGAAAATTGCAAGAGATCAAAGTACTTCTGATAATTTCCATCAAATGTGAGATCAAGAAATAGAGTGTGATATTAGGAAAAATACACACACTATATATTTCTTACTGCTCTGGCTTATAGCTGTTAATGTTTCTTTTCCACCCAAACTTTCATTGTTTGTAATTAAGCACAAGGCTACACAATGGTCTATCTGTGCTCTGCCCACCACGGTTATCGAAACCCGGATTCTAGCGTTGTAAGTTTTAGACTCATCTCACAAAAAACACAGGCATTTTGTTATTACATCCTACAAATGATATATTCCGCAAAAGTTTTATTGTAACCTCAGTTATTCACGAATAACGTGCTGTTCACGACAATTAGATTTAGAATTCTCTAACGTTTTTTTATCAATCACATACAAGTGATGTCATAGTACCTGATCAAAGGTTATTTTCAACACAAAAGAGGGGCGTTATCGTTATTACGGCACAGCATGATGAAAATAATAACACAATAAGCTGCTCCGTAACTGTATGTTTTGGTAATTGTCCACAGAAATACAACATTGAAGAATCACACATTGTATTTTTGTATGCAAAGGAACTCCATCAATTTGTGTAACTCTTTTTACATATGCGTAAACATATCATTGCTTTAGTAAGTTTTTCTTCAAAATTAGAATAAATGAATAGTCTTTGTAACTTAAATATTTGCTAGTGTTACTTGTTTTAAGATACTTAGAAGTACACTAAATGCTTGGTTTACTTTATTATTAATTATTATTTTATACCTATTGTCAGTTATTAGCAGGAACTACTAATTTATATTTTCTAGTGAATTATGTTAATTAACATCAACAAATAATACAACAGTAAACTTTGCAGTGTTAATTAAGTAACGAGAACAATATTTATATTGATATAACTAAATAAAATACTACAGAACAATATTTATATTGATATAACTAAATAAAATACTACAGAACAATATTTATATTGATATAACTAAATAAAATACTACAGAACAATATTTTTATGAAATAACTAAAAAAATACTACTAGATGAAAATAATTATAGAATTTTTATGAACTAACTTGTATTGTTTATAAATGTAGATTTACTTATTTTTACATGCGATATGACGTAATGTGTTCCCAATTAAAGAAGTCGGGTTAATTCATTCTCCTTGAAT